ACTCGCATGTTGATTATGTGAATAAGTAGTACGAATTAATAAACAAATGAATAAATGAATGGGAAAATAGTATCTATAATAAATGAATTAGATTAATGGGTTAATGAATGAATGATGAATATTAAAACAGCAAATGAAAGTATGGCTATTGGAAGATCAGACAGACAGACAGACTGATGACTGGATATGAAGATAGAAGAATGCAATGACGCACAGTACATGTTTTTTTTATGGCCTACCCTTCGTGAGAGTTAAGAACACTGTAAAAGCATATTGACGGCAGTGTYGCTGCATCAAGTTTTAGTCTTTTTGCTTTCTCCTTTAAAACCTGAGCTTTATGCATTTTGTCACTGTCTTTTCTGAAACAAAAAATTGTTTGCAAAAAATTGTTTGAAAAATTATTTTGATACTTCAAAAAATAAGTTTTAAAATTCATGCCTACTTACAATTCAGGGAAAGGGATTCTGCTAAGGGGAGGCGCATTTGGGTTGAATTCAAACTTCTTTCTCCCTGTGAAATCAAGAAAGCATATTTTTCAATTGATGCTAATAGCATAATAAGATAATAAGATAATCTTGATTTATTCTCCTCTGTAACACACATCCCTTCATTTTTTGGGATTCCTGTGGCATCATCTCCAGAAAACAAGAAGCCCAAACTATAGAAAAGTGATAAGCTGGAATGATTCCTGTGAAGATGGCTAATCCTGCCAACAATAATGAGATGTTCTAAATATTTTAACCTCACCTGGACCATTTTCCTTTTTAGGTTTCTTTTTCTGCAATAAAATGTAATCACAGCTTTTAAAAATATGTCTCCTTCCTATGCTATATACTTAAGCCTTATAGGTAGTATGGGTGAGTATGGGTCATTGAAAACACACATTTGTCTTACTTTGCATGTGTATTTTATCTTGTCAAATATGAGAGACCCTGAGCAGCATGTCAACATTATTTTAATAAACAAAATTGTACATTGTTTATAATTATTGACACCTGAAATCAAATATGTACTACTTATCCTGTGATGGAGGTTAGAATTTTGATTAAAATTATAATATTGTTACCATCCAAGACCTCAATATTATTGCTACAAGTAACATATAATTACTAAGTATTCTTMTCAGTGACTCCATTCTTTGTCTACCTTTGGTTTGTCTTTATCTTCTTCATCTTCGTTGTCATCATCCAAAGTAATTCCTAAGTCTGGTTCAGGCTGCATACCATATAACACTTTAGTCTTATTTGCTGAAATATCACAATAAAAATAAAAGACAGTTAATCAATGCTCTGAAATACTGAGCTAAGAAATATCTTAATTTATCATCCACAAAGATACCATAAACATTTCATCATGCCTACATGTACAAAACTATTCAAAATTCTAAAGTTCAGTTCCTGGATAGCTAGTAATGCACACTAATTAATTTAAACGTTGACATAACAATTTAAACAACACTGATTGGTTGATTTGTGAGAGTCCTGTCTTACATAATTTAAAATCAGAGTAATGAAATACTGTACCTTCAAATGTTGCATCCCCTGTAATTCCACCTGATGTGGCATCAATTGATTGTTTATTTCTAGGACGTCCATCGAACACTGTTGAAGATTGACAACAAAATAAATTCGGGTCCTGACCACTCAATGATATTTTCTTATGAATGACTTTCATAATTATTTGAGATCTTTCACAAGTTATCTAGTAGAGCATACTTGACTTTATTACTCTCTATTTTGTKTTTTCTGTGTTTTAAAAATTTGTTTAACTGATTAATGAAAACRACTTTAATTTATCAACACTATCACCTGCAAAAGGACTTAGGTTGAGGATTTCTAAAATATTTAGGATACTACGCGCGCTGTGATTGGTCGAAAACCATGTTTGATTACAGTATCAAAACACGCTCGCGCATGTCAAAAATTTCTTTTTTTCTTTTAATTTTAGAAAAGAAATAAAAGACGAAATTTCGTGTTTGATACTCTGATCAAAACACTTGGGATGTAGGGAGAGCACTCGAAAAGCTGGAAACCACTCCGCTACGCGTCGTGGTTTCCTACGCTTCTCTCGTGCTCTCCCTACATCCCGCGTGTTTTGATCAGAGTATCAAACACGGAATTTCGTCTTTTATTCCTTAATTATTCACATGCTTTTATTCAGGAATTTTATACTAAAAGATCTAATGTCAATTTTAGTGAAGAAGTAAAGTACTATATGAAGAAATATAAGTAAACATACCATCAAAGTGAAGATGCTGTTGGATAACTGTRAAGAGGGTCTCTAGTTGAGTGTCCTAAAGAAAAATATTGTTCAACATACTGGTAATAGTTTTAGCAAAACCAACAAATATATGACATGACGGTTATCAAAGAAAATACCACAAACTATTTCTAACCTGTAAATACTTTTTTAATACTTGGTAAGTATCCCTAGACATTTTTATCACAAATTTGTTGCTCCTAAAAATACAAATTCATTGCAGCTGTTAATTGAAAAAAAAAATAAGTATATAAAAAAAAATCCAAAAATCAGTATTAATTATGGATACTGATTTACCTAAGTATTGCCATAAATTCACTTTTGTCCATATGTTGTCGTCTAGTTATTGATGATAATTTWACAATATCTTCTTCATGATAATCTTCTTGGCAATTTCTGAACTTTGCAAAAAATGACTGAGCTATAGAAAATAAAAATTTGTCAGGAAACAAACAAGAATGTGTTCCGTAGTTGACAGTCTGATCTGTCTACCCAAGTATCAAAGAGTATTGAAAATATCAAAATTGATCATTTTTCTAGGCTTTCCACACTTCTAGCTTGGTAGTAATTGATATAAAGGTCAAAACTTACCATTCTTTTCATAGCCTTTGTAAACAAGTTCTAAATACATGTGTATAAACAGTGGATATAGTACCATAGCAAGCTCAGGCTGAAAAAAGAAAACAACTGACTTCATATGTGATTTTCATTATCAAAATTACAATCATCATCACCTTGTCTAGTCTCCTTCGCAGCCTCCCTTTTGTCTGGCTTCATATCCTTCCAAAGAAAACCTCTTCTTTTGAGAGGGACAGGAAGCCTGACAAAATGGGAGGCTGCAAAGGAGACTACACCCTGTCAATCTTCATCATAATCATATTCATCATCATCACCATCWTCTATAAATACTATTCAGTTTCTGTTTGTTTACTACCTTGTTGATATCCAGAGATTTTTCCACAAATGTTTGAAGACTGAAATGAAACATTACAACTGAGGACAACTGTTCTTTTAAAAGTTTCTTATTGTCAAAATTCCAAAAACATTAAGAGTATTTCTTACATTGAGTAGTATTCCTCATATCTRGAAGGATCAGCCTCGCTACAAAAAAGACCATTTTATTAAAATTTGTACAGACACAAGCATATAACTTAATTAAGCTTAGATTTAAAAAGTATTTAGCTTGAGATATATGTACCTATTGTAAGCTGACAAAACAGAAGATATATCYGCATCTACATCAAGTGATGTCTCYAGGTTTAATTCACTGTCAGTTCCTAAACAGTTGGCCTCCTGTCGAAAGATTTTCTCTGTTTCCTGTTAAAAYAAAGTTTAAAATGTTTACGTGCTTGGCTTGTAAAGTTTTGATATTCACTGTAGTCACAATAAATCCAATTTATGAGCAAGAAATCGCCGAAATCTRATTAAAAAGTATCTAACTTACTGTTAGGTTTTTATTCTTTAGAAATTGAAGCACAGCTCTCAACGTTTCTTTGTCTTTATCAGAGGAACCCGACTTAGAACTTGAAGAAGTAGAAACGCTTGGATTCGCCGCCATTTTGAATCTCCTTATAAGAGCCTGGAGCGAGCGTTTGGGACTCCTGTGTCACACCTGCTCGGCGATGCACTGAACTGTAATCACACATACTTTTGGCCATCGACACATATTGTAAATGACTAATCTCGTGCTACCCGTCCACAACTGTAGTTCTCTCATATATTATTCATCCCACTGAAGGTTTAAGTCTGCCTTTACGATCGAAGCGTGGTGATCAAGTCTTCCAAGATTCCATTTGCTAATATAAGGATGTCAATTTCACGAAGGCTAAGAKGATTTATAAACATTTGATGTGTTGGTCGGCTGACAGAGATCAAGAATCAGCTTGTGGTTGTTTTGTCAATAAATTAACGGCTATCAAAGTATTTTAACCTAAACTCGGACCACCGGTAGCGAAAATATCGAGACAAAATGTCGACTACAGAATATACACCGTTAAACGATACAGACGATGAAAACACTTCGAAAGGTAAGGCGGATTTGATTCTCATTAACTTCAAACCCCAAAACAAAGACAGCTTTACTCCTTAAACTAAATTAAATGGTACACAAAACATTGTAAATTCTTCATTTACAGAATCTCAATGTTTATTCACGCTCGCTTATTCTTGAAAAAGGCAAACATTTTTCCTTACGCKAGACTGTTTTTTTACGATCAACTCTCCTTCCTCTAATCAGGCGTGAATCTTTTTCCCGTTCCTTGACGCCAACATCAAAACGCCAACGCTAAAGCAACATTTGAGGTTTATTTGGTTATTTTGTGTGGTTGACATGCTTTGGTTTTTAAATATGGTTTCTRTGGAGACAAAAGCAGTTTTTAAGAATTCCTACTGTGGGATATATGAATGTAGTTGTCACCCAAATATTCAAATATGATTCAATTTAGTCGAACAGRAACAATCATTAAGCAGTTTTTCGCTGCGTGACAGGAAATATTAATCAAGTATCCTAAATTYTACTCGACTTTAGATTAAATGTGTTTAACACCTATTTTTCAATAGGTGGAATCTTCGATATCACATTGCCTTTTATACGAAATTAAGCTTTACAGAGTGCAAAGCAAAATAAATGTAATTGAATTTCGAAGAGATAAAATGAAACCCTTGCCAGAAGAGGTCGTCTCATTATTGTAATTGACGTATATTTGATCTCTAATAACCAACACAGTGGTTCTCATATGACTGTGAAATGATCACTAATTGCTATCGACCTGTATAATATCTAAAAAATATATGCACTATGCAGTGAACCTCATAAATCAATTGTTTTCATTTTGTGCTGATAATATTTTTGAAAACCTCTTTAGTGAGTGAAAAAACACCCTTTTTACCATAATTCAAAATTTTGTTTATATATGATTGGTGGGTTGCGTCGACTTGGTCTCATYAATATTGTAACAATTTTGAGYATTCAATGATACCGACTATGSTAAARGAAAGTGCATRTCTACAAGTACCACYAGAATAATAAATTAAACAAATTTGTTAAATAGAAGATCCATGTAGGAGTTAAATCGCATTTATCAAACATAATCATATATGAATGTTTTAGATTGCTATAAAGCTAGACAAGTCAAGACAAAAGTCGTAGCATGCATAACTGCTTTCATGCGATCAATGAGAGTTTTTTTGCACTTATTGCCAGTGGGTTTAAAACCAACAAAATAATAATAATACGCCTAATAGTAAATACCTGATTCAGATGAAACACACAACAAAAGACAGAAATAAATGATAATAGAAAGAAAATCAGCTTTCTCTTGATGCTACTCTCTTTTGCGCTCTCTGTTCTTTCTTCTGTGTGTATTTTTCCACTCGATTATTGTTCACCCTTTTTACAAACATTCTCGGTTGTTGTCCTCCATAAAGATCTATTCTTGGGCCATCTGCTGCCATTCTTTCAAAACTCTTCCACTTTTCAGGGCACTGTTACAGGTGTCTTGATATCGTAGCTTTGGACGACCAACGGGAAGGATACCTTTATCAAGTTCACTGTAAAACAAAGCTTTGACCGGTCGCTCATTTAAACAAGCACTGTTAAGTTTTGTTTGATAGCAATCTTTTGCTATTTGGCTGTTGTGACTTTTTACCTACTAGTTGGCAACTCTSATGTTCTTCCCATCATGAAGCAAACAAAATTGCATGGTTAAAATACATATTAATGTTTTTTTATTTTTGTTATTCAGAAAAAGAAGGGACTGGYGAAAGAAAACAATCACTATTAGAGGTATTAAAATGTTATTAAAACTATAAGATTGTAGAGTGAGTGCTCTTAGTCTGTGAAACAAAAATAGAACAAAGTAGGCACTACATTATCCTAATTCCTTTGTTTTCTAGTGTCTAATCAATGATATTTGTTTCACAGATTTAATGCGCTCAATCTATCCAAGTAATTAACAATATTATTCAGTGGAATTATTAATAACAAAACAGCAGAAATTAAATGACCATTATATCAACTATCAATATCATTGTTTCAGAATGTCTTAGGAAAAACTGGTTATCCCATGAGTGTTTGGTTTATTTTGGGAAATGAGTTCTGTGAAAGATTCTCCTATTATGGGATGCACGGTGAGTATACAATACACTTCACAATGAAATACAAAGTACAGTCAACTCTCGCTATTACAGACACCCACAGGACCGTAATTTAGTGTCTGAAGTAGGGATAGTCCGTAGTAACGAGTTACTTTCAGTCATTTCTTTGTATTTTTCACCAGGGATTCAGTATTTTACTGTCCGCAATATCAAGGTGTCTGTTGTAGCAGGGTGTCCGTAAGGCAAGAGTTGACTGTAGTTGTCAAGTAGCTTAGACAAAACTTTATTTATTGATCATAATTAGGGGGCCTTTATTTGATGGGCTTGCATTTTTAAGGGGGAGGGGAGGGGGGGCAGGTTATAGTTGTTATAGGGGAGAGGGGGAGGGGTGAAGTGTTGTTACCTTAATACATAGTATTATGTTGTTAGAGTCTGCACCATTGAATTTTAGTCCTAATACTAGTATTCATAAAATTATGTCACTTTGCAAAGTCAATTTTACATGGGTCAGTAATAAATTAACATTAAAATTATACATACCATAGTTTGGCAGATTCAGTTTTATATGTATCCATTTATTAATTAATACAAATATATTAAATCAGATTGACAAACTAATGTTGCCTTTTTCCCCTACAGCTATTTTAGTCATCTATCTTACACACATGCTTAAATTGAGTGGCGATAAAGCAACAGCAATCTATCATGCATTCAATATGTTGTGCTACTTTAGTCCTTTACTTGGAGCAATTCTAGCAGATAGCTGGCTTGGAAAATACAAGTTAGTATAATGATTAATCCTGAAGATCTTAATTAATAATTGATCAATTTTCAATCAATATTACATTATTATTTGGGTTTTGACAGAGTTGGAGTAGAAAACTGTAAACTGTAGTAATCAGAGAATCACAGAAGAGAGCCATCAAACTCAATTAACAATATGATGACTGGATCTGGAATAGATCACTTTTGATATACCGGTTGAATTGTCACAAAAGAAAGGAAGATGAGGCACCTGGGGAACAAAAGGATTATCTAGTCTTTCCCTAGTGCCAGGTCTTCAGTTCTTTTCAGCATGCTTTTAAGTCAATCAAAATATTGAAAGGGATTCATTACACGGCATGTACATAAAATACTATGTAGTGATAGACTAATAATGTTCACTGACATTTACCTTTTGCAATCCATGCTTTTTTTCCAGATATTGTGAACAATATAAATGTTGAAGGGGCCTAGAAGTGTTTTTATACATGTACAATGGCTATTATTGATTGAAGCATAAAACGTTTTTTTTTCAGGACCATTCTTTATGTATCAATTATCTATGCCATTGGTAATATTGTGGTTGCTGTGACATCAATACCAGCTATACTGGCAAAAGTCAAATTGTAAGTAAAAAAGGAATTAAGTCATTAATTAATTGAATTTAATGATAATACTGATGACTAATGCTTTATAATGAGCTGTCATGTTGCAATTCCCTGCTGTATGGGTGCGGTAAATGAATGATTTTGTTTGTTTGTTAACAGGACTGGTGTTATGATTGGTCTGCTTCTTATTGCTATTGGTACAGGAGGAATAAAGCCATGTGTATCAGCATTTGGTGGTGATCAGTTCACTGCAGCTCAGGTAGGACTATTTCAAAAATGTAGTTTGGTAATATGGCTTTGGTTTTCAGTAACCTATGAAACAGGGTTAATTGCAATAGTCAAAGTTTGATAAGGAGTGAAAAGCAAAGAAAAACATGCAAAAAATAAAGTGTTGTGTGCTTAAGTGTTACAGGTTAATGAAAGCCATTCCATGAATAAATATAATACGTTAATGTATCATGTGAAAAGTGACATAGAGCGAATTTCGTATGAGTGGGAAATGGACGGTACTGTGACCGTAATCGTACTGTAACCAAATTCTAGTGTCTCATTGGTTCACCAAAATTGTGCAGGCCAGGTGCGGTAACTGTGCGGTAACCATGCGGTAACGGTGTCCCACTCATACGAAATCCGCTCTATATAATCATGAACTTGATACAACTCTGTTACTATTTTACTGTTTTATTCATCATAGGAACGACTTCTTCAAAGTTTTTTCTCAATATTTTACTTTGCCATTAATCTTGGAAGTCTTTTATCAATGATAATTACACCAATATTGAGAGGTATGATAGTGCATCTATCTCCATGTTGATCTGGTCTATGAAAATATATAAGCGAATTTAAAGTAAAAAGTATCAAACAATAAAGTTGCGCTAAGTAAAATATAAAGTAAAACATCAGGGAAAAACTCTGAAGAAGTTATTGGTCATTGTACCAATACAAAGAGATGGAAAATGTTCTATTATTTTGTTTTGCATATCACAGGAACGACTTCTTCAAAGTTTTTTCTCAATATTTTATGCTGCCATAAACCTTGGAAGTCTTTTGTCAACAATTATTACCCCGATATTGAGAGGTTTGGTTTTACTTTGCAAAATTTTGATGCTGGTCTCAGCAGTCAGTCCAACTAATGTTTCTGTTTGTTAACATCTTATAACTGCTACTTAAATTGAGTCATACRTTTTCCACTCATTTAGGTGATGTTAATTGTTTTGGTGCCAATTGTTATCCARTGGCGTTTGGTGTTCCTGCTATATTAATGATTGCATCTGTAGGTGAGTAAGTTAATACTGGTAAAAATCCCTTTCAAATTGATAAAAGCAGCATAACCACAAGCGTTTTTCTATTTTCCATGTCATTAGGATTGTTCTGGTGTGGACGCAAGAAGTACAAGATTGTTCCTCCGGAGGGTAATGTTGTAACGCTGGTGGTTTGTGCTGTAGGGGTGAGTGAGTCATTTAACTATAGAGCAGCAGAGTGTCTCCAGATTCAGACAAGCTCACATATTGTCTCCACTGTCAATGCAGAAAAAAAACAATATATTGGAGTAGCAACACTAGTCTTTTTTACAGGTGTTTCATAGTTGTAGCCTTGACACAGAATGATAGAGACAAAATAGGCTGCAAAAGAGACTGCAACAACTCAAAGTCATTAATATTCTGGTCAACTAGTAGCCTCAATGCAGTCGCCTTTGTATTGTAACTTGCTGATTGAATTCAATTGCTGTTATAGTATGCCATTAAAAGGCGATTCAACAATAAAGATAAAAACGAAAAGAAAGAACATTGGATGGACTGGGCGCAGGACAAATARGGGGTATGCATTGAACCAATCAAAATATAGCTAAAATTTTTCAAYTAAATTATACAAATTAAATTATATTTGCTTTTCCTTTTTTTCTTAAAAGGAAAAGATGGTCAGTGACATCAAAGCACTTTTCAAGGTSCTCTTCATGTTTTTACCTATGCCTGTATTCTGGACGCTTTTTGATCAACAGGTACGTTATCAGATAATGACTGATATTTCTCACTCWTGAAGCCTTCATCTGAAACAGATAATCACCATCAATGCAGCGTTTTCCAATGAAAGTTTTCCTGAAAAAAGTTCCCACAAACCACCCCACCCACCCAGCCTTTTCAGGGGGTGGAAAGTCGATCAGATTGCTCAGAATCATATTTTTACTTATAATAATTACTTGCGCTATAACATAATTTATTCTGATTTGTTCTTTTWTAGGGATCTCGTTGGACTCTCCAAGCAGAAGAAATGGATGGTGATATTGTAAGTTAATCGTTCTTATAGAGCGGATTTCGTATGAGTGGGAAACGGACGGTACTGTACTGTGACCGTAATCGTACTGTAACCAAATTCTAGTGCCCCATTGATTCACCAAAATTTTGAAGGCCAGGTCCGGTAACTGTGCGGTAACGGTGTCCCACTCATACGAAATCCACTCTAAAGATGCATGACGATACACAAACTTGATTGGTCGAGCTCATGAATTATTAATATGTTTTATCTCATGCCCAATCTACACGGTCACGGAAATTTTAAATCCGCAAATACAGTTTTTGAAAGTTCGCGGATAAAAATATTTCTGACATGGTGTGGACGGTGGCTAAACTCAGATTGATTCTCTCCAGGGTGCTCTTGGAACACTCAAACCTGACCAAGTACAGGCAAGTAACACTCTTTATCTTCAATCTGTGTGATATTTGTACAAATATAATTGTGGATTCTTTACTATTATTTCTTATTTTCAGGCACTCAATCCAGTGTTTATTCTTYTTCTTATCCCAATATTTGAATACATCGTATACCCTCTTCTTAGCAAATGCAATCTTCTCGTAAAGTAAGTGAATTGTCTTTAGAATTTCGTTGCTTTTCTGCTTACACATACACTAACTTCGGGACTGTTTTTTCATACTGCATGCGTGTTCTTTTCAGGCCTCTGCAACGTATGTGTGCCGGAATGTTGTTGGCAGCATTGTCCTTCGTATTTGCGGCGTTTTTGCAAATGGCTGTGCAACGTAGCCGTCTTCATGTCGTTGAACCACCAAACGGATTTGCAAATCTCAAGATTATKAATGCTGCTCCTTGTTCTTTAAGTGTATCTGGCCTTGAACTTGATACAACCATTCCTGTTGATGAGGTAATTCCGTTACAAAGTACATCTATAAATACAGAATAAAGATTGCAACTTTCTTGGTGTACAACCACATGACCAGAAATCCCCTGAGAAATAATGAGCAAAGCTATCGCCGCCATGTTGGATGAATGAACAAGATGAGGAATGCTTTGTGATTTTCATTCAACATGGCGGCGATGACGTAACTTGCAAAATTGAATGAAATACAAATAGAAGTCAAACTTTGAAACACTTGTTAATAGTGGCGCACGAAGGTTTGTTTTTAGGTTTTAGTAACGGACGTGATGTGCTTTTCTTTCTAAACTAACACTTAATAAATATAAAATTTTTGTTATTTCAGGTTTCAAAATATTTACACATTCCTGTGACCCTTGACTCACTTAAAGTCGAAGGTAAAGACTGCCCGTCACCATTGAAAAAGACTTTTCCACTAAAAGTAGACGAACATAGTGTTTCTACCTTTGTCATTGGCACACAAAAGGACCAACTTGTTGGACAGAAGGTGAGCATTGTAAAATGATGCAATGACAACGGGATAAACATTTTGCGCAGTTTTCGCTAGAAACTTAATTCGAGTTTCGGGGTTCAAGGKAAGAGCCTGCACCCCTAAGTCAACAAAAGAATATTTCCATCAAAGTTCTTTGGAGTATACGCAATATTTTGTTTTTATGAACGCTATTTAGCTGTTTGACTTTTTGTATCGTTGTTTGCCTTCTAGTTAACCGACGCCATTGCTCCTTTAAAAGCTGGAGTGGTCAAAGTTAGATTCGTGTATCTTGGCGGAAATATTGCTGATAAAGTTGATATTAGCCTCAACAAAACCCTYAAGTACACTGGAATTACCGACCTAATGCCAGATACTCAATACAACAAGATTCTATCAGAACAGTGCGTATTTTGCATATTGTGTATTTGGGGCCAGTTCACATAACGACATAAGGAAAAGAATAAGTCAAGAACAAGACAAATACTCCGATTTCGAGTTCTGGTTTGCTCTGTGTTAGCCTCAAAACCAAGCAATATATTCTTTTGTTTCATTGACAGCCCGAGAAAACGCATGGAATTTGAAAAGAAAGACAATGGAATTGATTTGAAATCTCAACTTTTATTCAGCACAATTAGGAATATTTTGCGCGCAAATGAGGCTAACACAGAGTATTGGAGAATTCGAAACTGGATTATTGAAGTCGAGCTTGCGATATCGACATAAGCATAACAATAAGCCTAAGCTTACTCAAGACAAAGGAATAGACAAAGAAAAAAAAAACACATTGGAACAATAACAATGCTAAATGTATTGTTTTTTGTTTGTTTGTTTTTTCTTGTTGTTTTGTTTTTCCGCTTATGTCGTAGTGAAACTAGTCTCTCTCGCAGCCGTTAGGACGTTCGTTCCCAGGTCACTATAGTGAAACAGCCGCTTAGTGTAATAAACATTTTCTTATATTCACCTACACAGCTATAATGTACGAGTTAGAAGATTCAATCAAACTGAAGTACTTTTGAAGGTAAGGCGAATGCACTGCTTTAAAAATGAAAAATTAGCAGTTGACGTCAACCTACTGCATTTTAAGAGGATGCGTCTTGTCCGACGCTCARTATGTCAATATCATTGGAGTYTTTACATACCCCATCCTCACAATGGCGCTCAATATCTGTAAAAGCTTTCATAGAAAACTATCGTACGGACAAAGCGTAGACTGGAGCTAGCGACAACTTGGAAATTTTCAAGTTGTCCMGTCCATGAGGACCTAGAACTAGCGACAATTTGGAAGCGACAACTCGGAAGGAAATCTGGAGAAAGAAAACAGCGACACGCACCCCTYTCAGTTTCAATACATAGCCTCTCCTTCTCAATATGTCATTCATATACAAAGTTGTTATTTCGTGAACTAACAAAAAACTTTTTAAAACATTTCAGAAACGATTGTACTTTGGAAATGGAGGTGTTTTCACAGTTGTGGTTCATGAGAATCCTAAATCCCCAGGAAAGGTATTTCATCCATCCTTTAATCCGCATTCCTTTCATCCACATCCACATTTATGCTAATTATCAGATCACTATACAAAAACCTATAAAACTGTTCTTCTCATGTGAAACTGTAAGTTCAGTAAGAACTGTTAGTAACTTTATCCATTCGTTTGGGGTCAGGCGGGATTATCCTGGGAACGAGCTTGGCAATGGAATCGGACTAAATAAAAGTTCAATTAAACTGTTGACGGAAACTAATTGTAGCATCCTCCTCAACTCTTTTTTCCTTCTTCGGGCTTCCTTTTACGGTCATATTGACCGCTATGGACCAGGCTAGGGACTAGTGACATTCGCTACCATTCTCCCTCTTCTGGCTCCCAGAGAAAGACAGGAAGCCCGTGACTATAAGTGATMCCTYGGGAGAAGGCTATTCTTTGTTTTCAAGTTARGTCACAGCGGCRATCTTGGAGGAAKTTCAACAAAGGAWTTCTCATTAGTATCTATTGATCATTCCTCRAACATGMCCGCCGGTCTTTTATCTTTTGAATCTCATGGGAATGAGTGAAAACGATCAATACTAGACGGAAAGTTATTTCTCTTCGACGGTTGAGAGTTCAGTGGCTTTAACATAACATATTATGTATCCACTATTATCCTCTTCAGTTTCATTGCATTCAGTTTTTTATCTTTCCTCCCAGTTCTTAAATTGCACTTTCTCTGGTAATTTCATTTAATAAAATCTGCTATATTTTTCTGTTTTCAGCTTGAGATGACGAAATACACCGATGTCAAACCAATGAGTATATCGATGTTATGGCAGGTTCCACAATACCTTACTCTAACTAGTGGAGAAGTGCTTTTCTCAATTACTGGTCTTGAATTCGCCTATTCGCAGGTATATTAAATTGAGGCAGAAGCGTATTCTTCGTTTTCAAGTTACGTCACAGCYGCCATCTTGGAGGAACTTCAACAAAGGATTTCTCATTAGTATCTGTTGTTCATTCCTCCAACATGCCCGCCGGTCTTTTATCTTTTAAATCGAGAYTAATAAATCCTTTTAGTAATTACTAATGTTTTGTTAATTCTGTTGTTATTGTTATTTATTGTTAAGTCGATTATTTATTATTAGGCTCCAGTAAGTATGAAGTCCTGTATTATGGCTGGTTGGCTGTTAACGGTCTCTATTGGAAACGCTATTGTTGTTATATTTGCTGAAGCTCGAGTGACCAAAAATATGGTAAGAATACACAATGTTTAGTGGAAATAAAGTGTTTTTTTTTATAAGAGTGAAGTAAAAAAACCGTGAAATAGATATTACACTACTACACCTCAGTACGCTCAGATTCCATTGTTTTCTTTCAGTGTCTATTTGACTATCACACTTGAATAAAATATTATGTTTCACGGTTTTAACAACCTCACTTTGACGATTACACTTCGTTTCACGTTTTTATGTAAACCACTCTAACACAACACACACGAAAACGCAAGATACTAACAAACAAACGAAGTCACAATATTATCAACAGCAACACATGCCAACTCAATAAACAACAACAACATGTAATACTAGAAACAATAATGATATTGAACAACATAATCGTAAACAATAACAAACAAAATAAAATGGACAAGAAACAACAGCAGCAAATCGGCAAAACGCAAACTAGAGTGGTTTTCAATACACGGAAAGACAAAGAAAATACATGCAAAAAAAAGAGTAATAAAATATAGTACGCTGAAGTGTATTTCATGGCTTAATTACGGAAACCACTGTATGATAACATACACAACAATAAATTGAAAAAATGGCACAAAAAACAACAACAAAACGCAAAATAAAAACAACATCTTAAAGTATCAAATTTCAATAATACACGATTACATAACATAAATAAACTTAAACCATTAAAAAAAAACGAATAATATCAATGACATAACAATCACAATTTCACAATAAATCTACATAAGCAAATGCGTCAAAGCAAGWCGCCTTCAGCTGCAGTCTGTTTCAAAACAGCGGGAAACGATTAGAACTGTAGCTTTAAAATGGTAATTTGCGTCACTGAGATCAATTTCTTTCGTCACGTACTTTTCATTTTACTCCGGATATAAGCTCGGGTTAAGTATTCTACGTAACTTAAGTACAATTTGTTTGTCTTTGACTATAATTTGGGTTTTRTCGAGTAGACAYCACTTCTCCAGATATTGTTTAAAAAAATAGATAATTCTAATGACTTTTAAGTTTTTGTGTTGTTTTCCCGCTTTGTTTTTACAAGTGGCTCACGCAACTTTATACTGAGTTCAAGTAGGCGGTTCAGAACTGTATTTTTTTTTCACGTTTAAAAAAATGACATTTTCACAACATAAAAAAAATACTTTGGTTAGCAGATTGATTTTCCAATCCAAACGAAAATCTAAGAATGATTTATCTTGATAATCATGGTTCTTTTTTCTTTCGTTTAGGCCCACGAGTTTTTCTTTTTCGCTGGTTTATTGGCGATTGTGATGATAATCTTCATGATAATGTCTTACTTCTATAAGTACGCCTACTACTCCGTTAATGGAGTCAAAACCGAAGAAGACGAAGGCGGAGAAACCGTTCCCCTTACAGAAACATCGCCAGAACATTCATGATAAACCTGGACAACCAAGTAATCTAATTAATCACTGTGAAAAAGCTGTTCGAATTCAAAATGATAGCTAGCAAAATAGATAATCGAGAATTGCTGGTTTTTAGTTYACCCTCAAGGCGGCTATGATGGTGGTACTGCAATAGAAAAATTTATTTTAATAATGTCTGTATATGTTAATAACAGAAAATGGGAACGTTTTGGCCACTTTTYGCATCTTGCTGTTGTTTAGAGAATGACTTAAAACCTGCAGTGTCTCGCAATATCTACCATACCACCGTATGTGRACACATTTTTTCGCTGATTATTTTTTTATRGCCGCTCGTAGATTCCAAACAAAGTTGTTGRTGTTTSGTATTCGTTAATCATTTTCGTCACATTGATAAGCTATTTTTTTCATGATAATTTTCCTAAACAAGCCATGAGGAGTGAATGGCGTATTGTAATAGTTTTGAATTGAACAGTTTTATGGATCATAAGAAGATATGAGACTGCGTGACGTCGCGAGCGCAACTCCTACTGAAAAGCGTGACGTAACGTGAAATTGAGCGCGAAAACGATGCCGCGGCCGCGCGTCTTAATCATGGATCATGTTCCGTGCGAACTATGGTGCGAATGATGGTCGATTTGGTTACCAGAAAATTATGGCGACAATTATGTTTGTACAGAGTTTTAATCGTAATACGAATGAATTCAATGAAATTAGTGGGGGGTTTAGATCTTAGCGAAGACGATTGTACTGATATCGCCGCCATTATAAAATAATGCGACACCCAAAATATGATTTTAGGCTATTAACCAATTGCTCAATTAAATCATATAAATTTGCAAYAGCTGTACAGCTCTATTCTGAATTTCTCGATTAGTACTACCTTGACATCCCTGGCGGCCGTATCAGAATAATGGTCATTGCATGACAGAGAATTTCTTTAGTTTATTTACAACTAAGCTTATATATTTATAGATATTGCTCAAAGCACTATATTGCCAATGCTTGCCAAGCACTGATTTTAACTGATAATGTTATCTTTTTTAATGCATTTTCTCTGAAATAACAAATCGGGAAAYAAACAATTATCCAAAATTTATTTTTATTGAATGCACTTTTAAGMAATCAATACGTTAAATTAATTAATCACGAATTAACTCATATAGTACTGTAAAAAATATATATGATTATTAGTATGGGAAATCAGTGCATCTTGTGAAGTAACCGTTAGACAGGTTGGAGATATAAATAATAATAAAGCCACTTAACTTGTAGAAGTTTTACGTTAAATCAGAGGGTCTGTAAGGGTCGGGAAATGGGGATGACTGACAGGCTTACAGAAAATCCTGTTGCAAGTTYGGTAAGACAAACGCACTGATTGGCTGGAAGAATCGCGACCAAGATGGCGGCTACCGCAATTCCCGTCGAAATTTTGTGCTGAGAGTTGAATGTTATGAATGACAGTTCAATGAATGTATATCATTTATATATTTAGTGATTTAAAATTCTTGTGCATATTGCAATATGAAGTATCCAAAGTATTTTGTATAYATAAAGAGAGATTAGGGGATGGCAAATAAACGCAGGTTTCAAATTCAAACTTTACTACGCGAGATATATTTTCTTATAAGGAAAAGTGGTGTTCACATAAAAGGACAACAACGGAAATCCAACAAGGAATCTTAATAAGTACAATTACGGGGCTTTTTCTCTTGTTTGATTTAAAAATTAACCAGAAATCGATCAAGTACACAACAAGTTCCTTGTCCGGGAAAAAGTTCTTCGTTAAATTCCTTYTCAATGGAGGGTCCAGGGGAAGTTAAGGTTGCCTGGCCAACCCGTATTTTGGGTTCAGAAATATAGAAATCAGAAATAGATATTATGATATCATAAATCAAAGAAGAAATTAAATCTGAATAGGACTCAATCTTAAAAATAACTAAAGCAGCTTCATCTAAAAAAAAACTGATTTCATCCATTTAATATCTTTTCAACAGTTYGCTACACACACACCCTCCCCTTTTCAACATTCTAGATCCWCCACAGCTAATGCACTCTGGTCATTAACAAGGGCTTTTCACGTGATGCTGGCAATAATCACCACAGCCTACACTAATATTCATGGCGTGCAAGTTACGTCATCGCCGCCATGTTGGATGAACATCACAAAGCATTCCCCATCTTGTTCATTCATCCAACATGGCTTTATTCTTTATTTCTCAGGGGATTCTTTGTCTCGTAGTTGCACACCAAGAAAACAGTATATCACAAAGTTTAGAAAMTGATCTTCACTCGACCGTGATAAAYCGACARAAAAAATAAGACTGTTTACTTCGAATACTTCCGAATGCTAACGAAAGCAAAACTGAAACACAAGAGTGCACTATACTTCCAACTATTTGTTAATTCTTTCGCAGTTCAATGAAACTGACACTAAATTGATTAACCTTGAACAAGAGAAATGAAGCCATTGTTGTCCAAGTTACCTAATGTTCATTGAAACTATTTTTAGTTCTTTGAAGCAGCTGGTCGAAACTCGCTACGGCAACACGTTGGTCTGCTGGGAAACAGATCTCTTGTTTCCTAGATACAATATTGCTGTGTTTTTTTTTCTTTCTTCTTCTCCCTTCCTACCTCCATCCATTTATTCATCCCTCCCTCCACTTATTTACAATTGGCAGTCTTAAATGAAAGGATATGATCTCCAAAATATAAATAAAATACCCAAAATGGCAACTTTGCTTTGATTGCCGGTTGAGTACAACTCGTTAGGAATCTTTTTGTTCTGTTGTTTATTTTATCTAAGATCTTCTAATTTTGTTTCCGTGTTATTTTTTTAACTCCTTTTATTCTAAATGMACGATACAGCAGTTCGCTTGAGAAGGAACAYTGCAAATGCATACTGCGGAAACTTAAATAGCGCACTACAAGTACAGTGCAATCAATATATAACGAAGCAATACAAAAGTTCTTGATCAGTTTTGTATGCAGTCATTATGTTATCATTGAACTCATTCACTAAATTGTTATCTTCTTCTCAAGCAATTAATTAATCTGCTTAAATGTCAAATAATAAATCTTCATTGAAGAAAATGAAAAACACTGTTTGTAAACAAATCGATCCGACGAAAAAATAGTTTGTTTTTTTTAAGTTAAGCAAGTGCCTCTTAACTGACACTCGTTCACAAGTTGTTCAATGAAGGCAAAGGGTGCAAAATCTTAGAATTTAACACAAGAGATSTGAAACTGAATCGGAATAGAAGCGGAAGGTCATATTTTTAGCTTTGCCACGTCTGAATTTTAGCTATAACACAAGAAAATATTTTTTTGGTAGTGACGTARCTTTTGGAAATTTTATAGYTAATGACGTGCTTCTTGACATGTACACATACACAAAACTTCGAGAAAATGGCCGTCTCGTGAATTCCGAGGCCACGTGAATGTTAAACAACATCAAAGCTTACATAACCATCGCCACTCACGTGGCCGTTCTACTATAAGACTGCAGGTAATCAGAAGACGTAAAAACTATTACGTCTCTTGACTCAATGGTTGTATATATAAATGAGATGCTTATAAATATAGCACATAGAACTGGTAAACTTAACAAGTTTTTGTCAACATAAATTTTTCCCAAAAAAAGTAATGGCTTCAAAACCACAAAATGCCCAGAAAGCTCCTGACAAAACACCATATCAACACCAGAATTACCAAAGGTTGTCCGAAAGGCCAAGTCATGACTGGAACGATAAGACCTCGAGTTCTATGCTGAGTTTTGAAGAAGCAGAACTGTTGAATTTCAAAGACCTGCAACACAGTTCTTTTCCATATGCTATGTACTCGCCTTCGCATTATCATAAAAGACAACTAGATAAGGCGATGGAAGAGTATGAACTAGTGGCAAAAAAGAAAACTATGAACCCTTTGAAWTCTGACCAGCTAGAAATCCCAYCAAGACCTCAATACGAGCAGAAGAAAAAAGAGAAAAAAGAGATGGAAGCTTTTAATGAGAAAGAAACTTTACACCCAGACACCAAAAACTGCCAAAAGCACAACGCAGAGACAGCATGTGAGAAAGCAAAAATAGATGACTACTTGGAAAAAAGACGCAAAAACAACGCATCAGCTAAAAAATCCAGAGAAGCTAGACGACAAAGAGAGTTAGAAAACCAAATACGCGTCTCTTATCTAGAAGATGAAAATTCAAAGTTGAGAAGCATTCTTTGTGTGCTGCGAAACGAAAACATACAACTTCGCGAGCTATTGATTATGTAAATCACAGAGATATAAGTAATTATGGGAGATAGATACACCAGAGAGTTGCATATGTTGCCTATAAACATTAGACCTAATATGACGCAATGGATCCGCTGCATTCACTGAAATGTTTATGCCGATTCATCTGATAGTAGTTGATACTAGACGTTCAACTTGTAAGACTGGACTGTACTAGATTAAAAGTTACCTATAGAAGCATATATTGTTGTTTTTGAGTTGTTGTTCTTATGGTTTTCGTAAAAAACACCAAGGTGTAACGAACGCAGATGTTTGGTTCATATTGACAAATTTCCTATTCCAGCGGCCTGAGCAAGATTATCGATCTTAAATAATCAATCCCCCGTAGAGCAGCCTGCCTTTAAAGATCTGAAAAAGATTTTATCTGCTGGCTTTTAGCAAGTTACGCAAGATATATATATATATATATATAAATAGAATAAATGAAGAAAAAGCCACGCAACTTGTAACTAGGTTTTCTACTTTTTAATGAACGTTTCGGCACTTCGGCCTTCTTCAGCAAAAATACTAATTATAAAAAATATATATATTTGCAACCTCAAATTTGATCATTGAATAGAGGGAGTTGACCGTACTTATTCTAGCACACTTCTCAAACAATCTATAAGGGTATTATGCAGGCCCACGCATCATAGTTAATTTAGTATAGCTATAACCATACTGCTCATAATTGATCAGCCTCTAAGAGCAGCCTTAAGAGGCCTCTCGACCAATAAACAATCTACATAACGGTATGTGGCGTCGCAGTCTCGGTGGTTTGGGCTTCTAATGCCAGGAACAGTCTTTGATTGTTATTGCTCTTTTTGCATCATGAACATTGAATAAAATGTCCATTCTTCATCCACGTCATAAAGATATAATCAACAAATTTTGTCGGCAAACACGTTTTTATCCCCCACTCCTTTTAAAGCAAACAGTTTCAGTTTCAAGCCAAATTATCCCCATTTTTAGATCCCCATTGTTAATATCGATGCATCGGTACACAAACATCAATATAAACTTGATTGCATATCTCTCTCTGTCCACGTATTTCAGGTATCGCCGGAAGCAAGATTTTCATTGCTGGTCGCTTATCTATAAGATTTTCTTATGCGGAAGAGAAAAAGGCAGGTGTCCTGGTGAATGTACATTCCTCTCGCAACACGAATGCGCACTCGCAAGGAGTTTGGAGTTTAGTATGAATTAGTTCGGACTAAGTGTGTGGTTCGTTTAGTTAATAAATCCAAAAATAGCATTGTTTGTCAGCAGAATTTTTGGCCATTTATCCGAGTTCTGTCTTTTGAATATAATTGCCTATGTGATACTGCCATATATGAACTAAGAAAAAGAACAATATATAAGTTCCACTCCCCTGAGGAGAAAAWGGCTTTAAGTGCAATGCTGGGCCGGTACAAAGCTAGATAAGCGCTAATCCTGGGTTAAATCTTAAAAAAACCTATAGACTTAACCCTGGATTAAAGCTAATCAGGCTTTGAACAACCCGGCCCATTGGTGTCAGACAATCTATGAACTAGAKCCAAGGAACATATGACTAGTGTCCGCGGTTAGCGAAGCGTTGATACCTARGCATTGACAGAACACTGTGCCGCGGAATGGAATCATACAAWGATCTTGGCAACAGAAAARAAATGGCATCAAGGATCAAGGAAATAGACKYTGCTCTATTTAAAATAGGGACAGTGGGCGTGAATAAATCAGATACCTATATATGTCTGTCCATTGAAAATTAGCCTGATTTATTTATTTATTTTTCCAGCTTTTTAATCATCTATTTAGTCTCGAGGCTTTTTAGAATCTATAAAKGACTAGACGCTCCTACATCGCTTACTCGGGCTGCATCACAGGGCAGTCACGTGAATTTAAATTCTGTGATTAAAAGAGCAAGTTCACTCGAGAAAGTAGGCTATAGTTTATTCCCCTATTTTGGTTTACATTGAGATGTGTAGCATTTACCTAAGACACATGCGATTTAATAACCACTTTTTTTCAAGTTTCACAGGAAGCCCGAGTAAAAAATTTTTTTAAGAATTTTGCCGATTCAGGAAAAAAATCCTTTAATCAAGGTGCAAATCTGAGGGGAGCGGTGTTGCGGTGAATCTTGTCAAAGAAACTGCCGCTTGGATGAAGCTAGAGTAAAGAACAAGATTTATGAGCCCAGGTAGCCTTATTGGTAAAAAGAAATCTTAAAATATAATAGCCGCACGTCTGTGAAAACGCTGTGACCAAACCTAATGCATATCATGGACGCTCTAGATTAGCAAATCCTGTGCCTCCACCCCTGGCGATAAATAACGACAGGTCTTTGAAGCTGTCTTCGACCTAAGTGACCATGACGTTGATTTTGTACCCACAATACAACGCGGGTGAAAATATGATTAAAACACTTGTTCTAGAAGAYTCAACAAAGATCGGACTTTAGCTTGAAACTGCGCCAAATYAAAATAYGAAAATAACGAACGGAAGCTAGAAGGGACAACATGGCGGTGTTTTTGTAGCCTCCCGCTTACCTGACACGGAAACAGTGTTCAGTGAAAAGTWAAGTGTTCTTTTATATACAGAAATAAGTCTAGAATTTTCGTAGTCCTTTTCTACGTCCTTTTTAAAGGAAAATCAGCATGCTTGTGGTGGTGTACTAGTTAGTTGTATTGCTTTCTTTCTGGCTGATTTTTAGGATCCAAATGGCCTAAATGGTTTAAATTAGATGAGCCAAACGTGTTTCAAAACACGTAGGTTTTATGGCGATTAAGTAAAAAATCGAGAGAAAAATCACGTAACATAGCGTGATTTACAAGCTATTTTTGAACAAYCATGCGCAAAGTAGTGACCATTTGGAGATGCTGTTAGCTTGCGACGCATGCGCATTAGTGACCACTTGTACAGGAAGCCCGAGTAAAAAAGTTTTTTTTTTAGAATTTTGCCGAATCAGTTAAGCAAAAATCCTTTAAATAAGGTGGAAAATCTGAGGGGAGTAGTGATGTGGTGAATCTTATTTGAAAAATTGCATGGATATGAAGACGGTGTAAACAACAAGACTCGTGAGGCCAGTAGTCTGACGGCATGGATGAAGCTGTTCAGTTATAAATTCAGCTTTAAGGGTTCGAAATTTTGGCGTCTTAAGCATCATGAATATCTCTTGTTTCTGCAATAACTATAGGGGTAACAAGCTGTGGTGTATTTAGATTATCGTGCTTATAATCAAGCGTCCATTCTGTGCCATTATGATCGGGTAAACTTCACTAATCTATCTAGTACCCTCGATTCTTTGCGTTCTACGTCTATCAACAAACAGAACAGCGTTTTCCCGAACAAAATAACTAAAGCAAGACGTCTTTCTACTGTTATTATTGAGCATGACCATTCCAAACTGACACAGAAAAAAATGACAATCTCAACAGCAATATATGTAATCTAGAATAATAAATCAAGATGATAAAGTGTTCTAATTCAATGTTAACAGCTTACTGACYTTGATTACTCTATGTTTTCAATAGATGCCAAATCTCTTGAGCTGTGATCGATGGATTGCACCCAAGAATAAACATGTTATTCAAAGTAACGCAGAACTGTTTTTGATTTTTACACCCTTACCCCTATAACCACACAAATCGAGTTTGCGTGAGAATTATTTCGTATATATTTGCTATTAGCATGGTAGTTAGTGGGGGTGGGGGGATGGGGTAGTGCGTTAGACGACACGCCTTTTGTCGTGTGTAGAATGATCGTTTGCTGATCGTTAGACGACCACAAGCCGGGGAAATATTATCGCGGCTATCAATCGCCATGATCTCCAGATTTGCCGTCGACTGCTCAATTTGAGCGTCTTAACATACCCGGGTGAATACTAATGAAAAGAGATTCTTCATAAGTGTTTAATAGAAAATTAGGATTTAACGGAGACGAAAACAGGATAACATCAAAATAAAAGTACATTGACGTACGCATTATACTTATATGACTGCGATTATGTAGAGAAAGAAATATTTCACACAGCMGGTACAATAAGTCTCTTTATCTGTAGAGTTATGCTTTTCGTGCTAATTTCTAACCGAAAGGATATTTTAGAGAGCACTCACTGCATGATATACAAGTGTGTGAAGCATCAAAAGGACAATGACATTACTAGTTCCGTTAGTAACGGTCTTTCATATAAATCTTGAGAGAAATCAGTCTGAGTGATACTTAACAAGTGCCGTCTCTTTGTAATATRAAATACTTGTTCTGATGTGCACGAAAAAAGAAGAGAATATCATTTTTGTAAATTTGTATCAGAAGATCTTAATTATAAAAACCAATATGTTTTTTGTTATTGTTTAACGTCTCTTCAGCTTTTTATGCCACCACAACGCCCCTTAATTGGAGAAAGRAATCTTGTTTAGAAAACAGAAGATCTGGTTTCGAGAGGCGCAAAATGAAGAGCCAGTCCGCACAATCAYACAAATTATATTCACAAAAATCGTACAACACCTCATGCAGACTCACAAGCCTCTTCTAACAGAGAACTTTAATTTCAAAAACTGTCCACACGTACTCGTATCCAGGCATTATCGTTCTAGRKGTAGAGAGGCTGTTGATTTCTAAAGCGGATTTATCATTCTTTTGTCGAAGTGTTTTTATCACTTCGTTAGCTATAAGTGCCAAGWGCGACTGTAAATCACTCCAAGAAATAATGAAAGAGCACAGTTCAAGCTTGCTGTCGTTTTATATCAGTATATTCACTATATTGCAACACATCGATCCCATATATACATATATTCACAATTGGCATATAAGTGTTTACACATAGGGGGCTATGATCTGTATAGGACTCGTATAGGTTACAATAAATCTAACTTTGGATTCTTCAGATAACGCCCCGAGGCCAATACTATAAATTAACCAAGATTGTCATCAATTTCTTGATTTGTTACAATAGGTGTCACATCATTTCAAATAAAATAGAAAGAACATTACCGGGTGATAGACACAAATCTAGTGGCAACACTTGTGAATGTCCTCATGACCCCCCAGTTTGATTAATTAGTACTTGTGGCTGAGATACACTCACCTTCGATAAGCACTCTCYAAATTCCTGCAAATAGAAGTATCGGTGGCCGGTGACGGACGCGTGCTTGCTGAGCTCGTTATCRACAACTTRTGGTCATCCAACTTAACGCCTAACCAATACGTAAGTACAGCTAGAAGA